ATACTCATGAGTAACATTTATCAAACAGAAAGTACAATTAATCAACGAGGGGAGCTTTGGTAACTCAGAGAGGTTTGTATTCTCCCTCTTCTTGCTGTGCACTTTCCTCTATGTCTTCCTCCTCTTCCTCCTCTTCCTCCCCACCACCCCTCACTGGTCACAGAGTCAGGGCAGTTCACTGTGCACTGCGTACACACACACGTACGTACTCCCTCCCTCTTCCTCTCCGCCATACCATGTACACCATACATACATACATAAAAATATGGGTTTATCTATTTAAATATATTTGTGTGTGAGCATATATATGTGCATATACATACATGCTTATACCTCTGTCTCTCTGGTGTGTGAATATCTGTGTGTAGATGTATGGCGTGTATGGTCTGCTGTATATGTATATACATGTAGGCATAAATGGTCCATTTACACTATATCTGTGTATATAATACACACAGAGTTATTATATTCACAATATTATACACACAGTATACAGAGAGAATTTTTATATATATATACACACTATATCTATTACCTACTGTCTAGTGTATAGCAGGTTATAGCATATAGCATCCATTACACTATATGTAATACATACATTTTATATATTTAGGGCTGCTGGGGGGTTTCAGCAGTGTCGGCGAGAGCCAGTGGTTGAGGGAGCGAGGTGGGACGGACGGTCCCCAGCCCCGAGCCGTGCTGGGTGGCCGCCTGGCCATCAGCAGCATCTGACCAGCTCCTTTTGGGGACAGCAGCCGGTGGCAGGGACACGGGAATCCCTGACAAACCTCACGGCCGCAGCCTCCCAGCCCATGTCCCCGCTCCTTGCCGGGTGCTGGGGATGAGCTGTGCACCAGGGGCTGCTTTTGGGACGAAGAGCAAAGGGACACTGGCCTCTGTCCCACACTATAAATACACAGGACGTGTATTTCCTATAAGGGCAGGATCACCCAGACGCCGTAGGGTTTTGGGTCCGCAGGCCCCGGGGCGACGCGGCGGTGCAGCCTGTGCCGGTACCCGGCGAAGGGCTGGCACCGCTGCTGGCAGATGAGAGGTGACAGAGCATGGCTGGCGCGCAGGGGGGCGCGGACGCGGGGGCAGGTTTGGCCGGGGTCAGACCCCGCTGCCTGGGCAGAGCGAAGGAGGTGGGAGCATCCCGCGTGGGTGCCAGCAAAGTACCTCGGGGGTCTTCCCTGGGCCTCGGAGGGCTCGTCGCTCTGTTAATTGCCATTAATGGCAGCAAGCGGGGCAGCAGGCGCCCACCCGGGCCAGGGTGAAACGCCGAGGAGGGGAGGGCTGTGCCCGCGCTGCGGGACCTGCCTGGCAAATCACCTGCAACAACATGTGCCGTCCTGGTCATCTCTCCTCAAAAAATGATATTTTAAAATTAATTAGAATTAATTAATCAGAAAAGGGTAATAAGGGTGATTAAGCACCTGGGGAAAAGAAAAAAAACCAATATTCCTGACGAGCGATTGCGGCCCCAGTGATTACCTCGGGAGGCAGCGAGCGAGCGGGAGCAGGAGCAGCGCGCAGGGAAACAAATGGGCTGGAGAAGGGGGTCTGGGGGGTGTTTTCTGTCTCGTCGCACCAGGAATTACCGAGCGACAAGATTGAAACCGGTCAGAGGAAAAGCATTTCCCGGCAGCAGCGAGCACCGGCAGGCAGCCGGGCCCGCGCGGGGGGCGGG